ATTCACTTTTTTATAAGTGAGTCTAAATATACATCTACTTGATTCTAAAACTAAACAACGATTGGGAGTCGGAAAACAAACTTACCAGACTCCATTTCTGGACATATAGACCATAAATCCTGCAAAATTCGAAGCGCGCTGTCTGCCGTTTGACGGACTTCTGGTCGTAAACTGTCTACTTCCAACAGTAGATCTGTGACACCTGAAAAGGCTTCATTGGTGTTATCCACTCCATTGGCAACCTAGTGAGTATGTATAGCAACGATACGAATCAGCTGTAGGATGATATGCTGCTGCTGCTTGTAAACCCGGTGGTAATTCGCTACAATGAACGCTAAACTACGGATAAAGGTACAGGATATTTAGTGCATAACTTGAAATATTCCTACCATGAGATTGCCAGCAATGGCCAGTCCGCATCCCGAGATCGCCAGCAAACAGAGCACCACGTAGCTCCATTTCAAGCACTGGTGGTTGTGTGTATCGCCCGAGCGCACACTTTTCCTGTAACCTGCATGAAAATACAGCGGCAAAGGAGGGTGTGTATAAGCAGATGAGAGCAAGAGTACATATGCAAGCGATTAATACATACGTGAATGCGAAAAACAAGGAAGAAAATCGATATGCAAAGGACGAAAGCTATACAAGAATATAGAAGAATTACATGTTTTCACAGGCAGTTTGTACTGCTTATAACTGTATCGAATGTACCAGTGATCTAGTAAGAAGACCAAGGAAAAATAACATACCTGCTCCACCGGAACAGCAGCAACCGAACCATGAAATGAGGACCCCAATCAGCACAAGCAGCCCTAATATTAAGATATTTGGACAACGCAAAAAAATGAGTAAGGATCGACAAGTCTGGCATAGAGCGGTACGGTAAACTTATACCAGAGCTCAAGAAACGTTGCAAGAAAGAAACTTCCTTCAGAATACAAGCTTGTATTTTACCCCTCTAGAGGGTGTCTAGGTATGCATCATGCTATTGTAAACACCACTCTTCCATCCATATCCCTAAAACATCATCCAACAACAATCCTTATCTCACGTCACCTTACAGCAACCAACTTCTTCAAGGCTATTTGTCTCTACCTATCATCTATACCACACTACACTACACCACAATCAACTTCATTCCGAAGCTTGTCACATCCGTACCACCTATCATACCGATAACAAGGAATGGAATGGCTATGTATACCAGCCCCATGATATAGTCGGAGTTGTCATTGAACTCTGAGGAAGACGCAATTCGGGGCATGTTGTGCATGGTCTGTGCGCTTGAGCTTGGTTCGTAAGCCAATGCCACATAGCCGTTCTCAACATCAGTCCACGTCGAGCTATCATTTCCCTACATGGTTTGAAATCAATGAGAACATCTTCAGTAGCTGGCAATTGCACCACGTCATAATTAAAATAAAGCAAGCAGTGCTCATCACTCGCTCTGCTACATGTCGTAATGAAACAATACCTGGTATTGTGCACCTTATAATTGAGCAGGTGATTGGCACTCGTGCGAATTCTACTCTAACACATTCTCACAGCAACAACGAGCAACAACACATCCGCCGGGACACAGGCAACCACTTGAAACATATAACAACTTCTCACTCAACCGTGATCAACACTCCCTTATAATTATAGCCATCGAGATAGGGTGACATCGTAGCCTTACCTGGATGGCCTCTGCGAGTGCTATCAAAACTTGGTCCAGTTTGATACCCCCACTAAGGCTATCGCCCAGACCCAGTCCCCCGTCTGTTGGGGCTCGGGGAACAGTGATGTTCTGTGGTGTTACCGGCGCTTGAGTGAGCAGAGTCACTTGACAGTTCGCTGGGCCTGATAAAAGTAGTAAATACAAATTATTGCTTTTACGTCGTGAATGATATTGATCCAGGTATGTCTTAATTGTAGATGTTGTCACATATGTTAGTGGTGGTAGCGGCACCAGAGCGAACCAGTGTCTTCAAGTCTTACATGCGTATGATGCAAGAAATGATGCTAACTTGAGCACAAAATCTACCAATCGCCTGGAAGTGATGCCCACATCAAAACAGACTATATGCGTGACCTAGCATATTAAGAGGCATCAGCTCAAGACATGTTCTGATATCTATAATTTATGTACACACAATATAGCTCAGTCTGAATGTGATAGTATTTTTCTGATGCTGTAGTGCATGCATAGACTTACCCGTCACAGGATTACATCGTGCCAGCAAATTAACAGCGTAGCCCGATCCGAAATCGATATTTGGTACCGACATTGGTTGGGGATAGTCTGTAGAAACAAACTGTGCACCACTAGCAATGGCAAGAGTGCGGCGATCTACTGCACCTTTGCGTGCCTCGACCGTGTCTGCATCGGCCCGTGTGCGTACGAGATAGTTGTCTTGTACCTGCAAAGGCGAATTTCGCAACAACAAAGATTTTTTTGGGTTCTCTAAGACATAATCTAGACCTTCAGCAGTACAGAAAATTGATGTGGAATAATGTATGAATGTTTATAAAAATTTTAAGATTCCGCTGTACAAACATAAAAAATATGATTTAGGTGGTAAGACACACATAGACCTCCACAATAGCAGCTCATACAGAAAACAATTAATCGGATGGCCGATCACAATCACATTACAAGAAACACTATAGCATCTGCATGCTAATGAAGCAGACACAGACAGCAAACTTAACATGCTACATCAGTCGTAAAGCAATACAAAAAATACTAATGTTGTAAATACTGACTTAAAATTAGGCAAGATAACAAAATAGGAGTCTCCCTTTTACCGTGCATCCCAGTAGGATCTGAGTATAGCTTACCAGTTGTGTTATATCTCGCTGGCTGTTGACTGGGTCGTTCCTGACTACATAAGCACCATTGTCTGAGTCAGGGTTGGAGTCAGGGAAAAATATCCGGTCACTCAGCGGCCCTAGGTTTCCTGGGTAACGGTTTCCCTCGGTTATACGATTGCCCTGAAATGTATATTGTACAAGTTCATTTAAGGACTCGGTGGGTGCAGTATGGTATCGGGGAGTATTAATTTCGAAGTTTGTCCCTCTCTGTTCTAAGCAGAAAGTACTCCTTTAAATTCCCGCCGGTTATAATCGAGCTGCAAATTGCTCTATAAAGATGCCACGCCAGCATAAAGCTATTTCAAGCAGCGAGAAACACTGAATCCATAATTCATAATTTAAAACTCACTAGTTGGGTCCTGTATCTATATTTAGGCTTGATTGCGCATGAGGGAAGCACAATTGCATTTACATTTGCTGCTCGCAAACCCTCGTCCATTTATCGTCATGACTTAAATTCAACCTGTCGGTCAAACACGGTCAGACTGCCACAGGCACATAATATAGCATGAGCTAATAATTTCAATTCCTCTAAAAGTCAGTAACAAATTTTCCTTTGAAAATATACGCATCGAGTTTCAACAACTGTACCTGTAAAGTGAACATGATCTTGCCCCTACACTCCGCCAGTGTTGGCCAGTCGTTTGCCTTCAGCCCGGCATTGATCGTGGTCTCTCCATTTTTCAGCAAGAGGTTGGGCGTGATCAATTGATCACGTGAAAATACACTCAGCACCTCGTCTTCTAGAGCTTGCAAGTTGGCCTACGATGTTTCAAATGATAAACGGTCAGTATATAGTGCCGTTTTGGCACAATAAGTAGCGCCCGAGGTTAATCGACCGCGAAACCCAGGAATATTTAAAAACCGAGTCGTGATTTTTGCGCGCAGCAGATACCTCAATAGGTTCTACAAATCCCAAGTTCAAGGGGTCGGGAATGGCATCCTCCTGTAGTTCCAGGCCAACCATCACCGGTAAATGTGCGATGTTTTGACTCGTCCAACTTTTAATTTGATTCAAGCACTCGATCAGAGCATGGCAATTCGACTCGAAATCTATATCCGCGACGTGTAACACCTTAAAGCCGGGTGCCTCTAATTTTGTTTTAATGGCTGTAGAGAAAAGTGAAAGAAATGAGATTGAAAACAACAACAGTATCAAGCCTTCTATATCGAATTTAAAGCGATATCTGCTTTAGTGGTTAAGGCATATTCCGAATGATAATGAGTTGACACACAGGAGAGAGTAGCATGAAAAATTAGACGATTCATTCAGGGGGGAGTTGTTAAAATGGTTGTATGGTTAAGCTACCGCACTGTACAAGGTTCGGTGTAACGATATATAGCTTTCAAACCATTTTTATGCTAAAGCTATTCACAAGCACCCTGTATATAAGCATACAAAACTCATAGGTGACTGGAGTCAGTAGGCCGAAAAAGCATCCATCTAAAAGAATGCACAAGGATCTAAAATCCAATCGAGCTCTGGGATTGCTACTGTGTTTGCCCATACACAAAACGTTATTTACTTCAAGAGCCACAAAGTTAAGAAAATCCACAAACTAAAACCATGCACTGAGACTAGTAAATGTCGTAATAAAAGGCGCAACTGTCTACTCACACTATAACATTAAAAATGAAATTAGATCAAATACATATATCACGTATATATGAATTACGTACATCCATAAATACCAATGATATAATATATACATATATAGCTAGATAGATGATAGATAGATACATCCATCCATCCATACATACATACACAGATATATAGATCCATAGATCCATAGATATATATATATATATATATAGATATAAAATATATATATATATATATATATTATATTATATATATATATATATATATTATATATATATATATATATATATATATATATATATATATATATATATATATATATATATATATATATATATATATATATGTATATATATA